AATAGTGCATTAGTGGATTCAGAGAGAAGGTACTATAGAAGTAACTAATCGTTCGCGAGAAATTGAATCAACAAAAATAATACTTTAACCTCACCTGTCCCAAGTTCTACATGACCAAGCATGATATATTTGCCACTGAACGTTAAGCAACCACCAATAACTAATTATTACAGTACTTGCAACCTTAGGCGTTACTGTTTGACGTGAACTTGACTGATCGGTGAATGATCGGTGACGGATGTTTGACTGATCGATGACTTATCGGTGATCGATGACCCATAGAATCCGTCAGATAGCTATGTGAGAGTTACCGTGACAACGGTCAGCGATCGATCAGTAAAGTAATTATATGCACGGATCGGACGGATACGTATATAATTAAAATTCTTATGTAAAACGAACTCGACAGTATTTACATTCGACAAACGCGGACCTCTACGAAGACACCTTTACTCGTTAATTTGTAATTACTTGGTCGCAATAACACACAAAAAATATATAAATTACTGTTCACGCATTATACTGTATTACTTCATATTCTCTTATTTTGATAGAGAATGCAATCATTTCTATATTGTTATGGAAGTTATTGGCCGCCATTGGATTTTTGTACTTTTTTTAGTTCAGGATTGGTTGTTTTTTTTTCATAAAATTAAAAGAATATCAGAAAAAATATATTAAAATGTTGTTCGCAATGTATAAAATTACTAATTTTTCTTCTTTTGATAAACAATATTATTTGTAACTAGTTAATTCAAAGGCCTCAAGATAAGTTTTTTTATAAGAATTCTAATAATGTAAGTAGAATAATACTTAAACTTTTGTTTGTGTTGAATACATATACAATAGTTTCTTTTTTATTTTGATAGAGATTATGAACCGCCATTTGATTTCAGTACTTTTTGTACATCAGGTTTGGTTGTTTTTCAAAAATTATGCTGAATTTCAGGGAAAAGATACAAAATTTTTGTTCGTGTTGCTTAAAAATGCAAATATTTCTTTTTTTATATCAGAAATAATGCAACGTCAATTGCAATCAGACATTATAAATGCATTAAGATCAGTACTTTTGTATAAGATGGGAATAATTTAAGGATATATATGCATAAACTTTTGTTTTTGTTTAATAAGAATGCCATTTCTTTTTTTTTAATGGAAATGATTGACCGCCATTGGATTTTTGTACTTTTTGTAGTTCAGGATTAGTTGTTTTTCATATATTATGCTGAATTTCAGGGAAAAGAAACTCAATTTTTGTTCGCGTTTCTTAAAAATGCAAATATTTCTTCTTTTATATCAGATATAATGCAACGTCAACTGCAATCAGTCATTGTAAATGCTTTTAGATAAGTAATATTGTAAAAAAAAAAATTAAATGCAATGTCATTTGCAATAATGGGTTGTTTTTCACAAAATTAAATAAATATCAGAGAAAAAAATACTTAAAGTCATTTTTTAGTCTAACAAATTACCAATATTTCTTTTTTTAATAAAAAATTCTGCAATGTTATTTGTAACTAGTTATTTTAAAGGCCTCCAGATAAGTTTTTTATAAAAATTATAAGGATAAAAATACTTAAAAAATATTGAAAATGATACAAAGAAAATGATCATGTCATTTCATTTTCCAGAGCATTTTCGGAAAAAAAGTCCCAATCGCGATAAACATCGTTTTAGCACTCTTTGGGTGTGAAAATATATAACCCAAATAAAAACGAAAATCACTATTCTTTTATGATAATATCTAAAATCAGTTTTATTTGCATATTTCTTTCCTTTTTAAATTCTTAAAACTTTGCTTAATAATTACTTAAAAAATGTTGATCTTTTGTACTTGAACGTTTCGTATTTTCCATGACACCATTTTTTATTAACTGAAACGAAACAAAGATTCCGTAATTTGTATTAGTTCATCATGTGACGTAGTAGAGTTCAATCCGTCAGAAAGGTCTATCGGTCCGATCCGTCAGATCCGCCCGATCAGTCAAATATTTTTACTATAAGTCTGACGAATTGGTGACGTGAGTTCAACGCGAACTTGACTGATCGGTGACTGATCGATGACCGCTGACTGATCGCTAAAATAGTAACGCCTAAGGTTGCAAGTACTGTAGCAATTCTGTGTAACCACCAACCAAGTTGTGGCACGCATAGTTTCAGATTTTCTTGAAATTTTGTTTGTTGGTAGAAAAAATATGTTGACAAAAAATGTGTGCATGTCCCCGTTGCCATGGTAACAGATCCCCTTGGATTTTGCCTCAAAAATGCATATTTTGACGTAGAAAAATGACCAATTTTAAGCAGTAATCATGCACACATTTCAATTTTGATGAATATTTTGACATTTGTCCATCAAAATATAACACTGAAGGAGTGAGATGAAAGATAAAAGTTAATTCTAATAAAAAAGGGGAAAAGGTGGCAGCACTGATTTTAGTAAGGGAGCTTTCATTGTATTCAAGAAAATTAAAGACCTGTCCGAAGTTAAATCCGCGAACGCCAAACTTTCTTGGTTTTAAAAGTTACTGAGTTACGCTATGATGTATATTTAAAGTACCTTTGAAAACTGTTCATGTATTCCTTTTTAATATCTATACCATATGCAGTTTTATGATTATATGGGGCTGAATTTTATTGAGAAGGTAAACAAGGCCAAGTTGGTTTATTTGAATTGTTTGCATCTGTTTTTATGGCCTTTAACAGTTAAATGTAGGTAAAATTGAGAATGGAAACGGGGAATGTGTCAAAGAGACAACAACCCGAACAAAGAGCAGAGAACATCTTAAGGCAACCAATGGGTCTTCAACACAGCGATCAAATCCCCCACCCGGAGGCGGGCTTCACTGGCCCCTTAACAGAAGTACTAGTTCAGTGAAATATTTAGCATGTGTTGCATCTTAAGTTTATATTCATGCTTATACTCAAATTATAGTATGGAGCTGAGAGAGATTTGTAAGTTTTAAATTAAAGACAAATGTCCACAAGACAGATGATTTCGGTAGGTAAAAATACGTCTGGATCCTAAATATGCATAACGATAAATTCCACTTCAAAATAGTACACAAGAAGACATTATTTCGCATTCTGTTGTACCAATATATGGAGAAAACATAAAAAATGGCAATAATCTTACTGCAAACAGAAAGTCGGTTACACCTTTTTTACGTTTTATCGTGTGTGAGTGAGAAACCTTTGTAATGCGTCAGAACAATAACGTAAGAGTATTTGGATAACAAAATAAAAAATTTCGTCCTACTTCAAATCTTTTAACTGAAGTGGATTTTTGACTGGTATTTTTTCTTTTAGTTCACTCATTTTGCCAATGAAAAGTAGGCATATTAATTGTTTTATTAGTTAAATGTACCGGAAAAAAGAACAGGTGTCCACCAATACCCCTCTAATTTTTACCTAAAGCCCTACACGACAAAATTTACTTTGATCTTTCAAATACATAACTGCAAACAAATACCACTTTTTTGTGTGTGTTATCAAGGTAACTGCATGTAGTCATCAACCTGTGAAAATGTATAGTCTGTCCTTCAACAAAATATTTAAATAGATATTTTAAGTGATTTATTTAACTTTTGAAAAAGAACTTCTGACAACCTGTCTGACAATATTTTTAATTTGACAAAAGGCCTAGAAGTACAGTACATGATCATTAATACCTAAGATATACATTTGTCCGTTAAAATTAAATTCCAATCAAGGATCATAATGATGTCATATGTATAAATCAATTGTTCGTCAAGAGCTACCTTAACTTGACAGCACGGCGCCCTAGCAACTGCCTCCATTTTCATAATTGAAAAAAATGATGGTAAATGTGGAGATAAATTTGATGAAGTAAAATTCTTACTGCACAATAGAAAATCTGTTGATAAAAAGACGGTATCAGTAGACAAATATTTATAACAAAATAACATGAATTTGTATGTTTTTATGCTTTTTTGTTTTAGTGATAGTTTGAATAAATTTCAAAGCACTTGTATTTCAGTTTGTTCAATTCTCTCTATTAAGCTATGTTCTTTAGAAAAACACTGACTTCATTTTTCAATTGTCGTATCATAACTATTGATTTATTTATATACTTGGTTTCCGATGCTTACTTATCTTATTCACTTTTTATGGTCAAGAAACAGTAAATGGTCTAAGTCACAGATATGAAAATCTATGTATATATTAAAAATGGGAAATTTGAAAATTTATAGACAAATTTAAGAACTTTTTTCGCCGATTTTATTTTCAGATACAGTTCAACGAGCCAAAGGGGTATGCACAATTTTAAGAAAATCTGTGACATAGCACATTTACTGTAACTTGACCTTAAGTTATTATTTCAACGAAAAACATTTTATTATTGTTTCCCAATATCATTCAATCTTTTAATCGTTGAGATTTCTTTCAAAAAAACAACATAAAACACTGGATTTTTTTCAGCCAATTAAGAAAAACGTGTGATTTGTGTCCCTCTAGATTCGTATTGACAACCAGTATATATATATACATATAAATTATAAAACGTGCAGAATGTGTGAAGACAGAGAAAAAAGGGTTTCTGAGCATGAAAGAGTAGCACAAAGTAGAATCTCATACACAAATGTTTGTCCAATTAATAGACACCAATAGAGTCGTACATCTTCAAGTCGCACATATTCAGTAAATGTTAATGATGCAGGCCTTATGAAACATAGTTATTTCTATCTTCATCTAGATCAAAGTCTGTTTGCCATGATAAGATCAAATACTTTACCAGTTTGGTTGTGTGTTTTTTATAGGAATGAAATAAAGTTTTAAGTTTAGATACTGTTTAACAGGTTTTTATTGCTATCCTCTTGTAGTCAGTTTGAGATAAGACTTTCAACACTAATGTAATTGCAAAGGACTAAGTAGTTGTCTTTTTCAATTAATGCATAACAGATAAGAAATATTGGCCTCTTCGTTTAATCATAACCACATGGGTATTGTTATTAGCTAACTCAATCTATTTATTGTGACAGATGCTCCTGACATTACAGTGGACAGTCCTACATATACACAGAATGATGTTATCAGAACAGTTTCATGCAATCCTACTGGTAACCCAGACAGCTATACATACCATAAATGGCAACACAAGTCTAAATATGGAGAGGTTTTACGAGAGTTGAATGGAAATAAAACATTGCTGTTACCAGATGTTTCAGAGTTGATGAGATATCAGGACACTGGAGAATATGTGTGTACAGCCAGTAATGGTATAAAAGACAAAGACAACAAGTTAGAACAGACTGGTTCTGGATATGTAACTGTAAACGGTAATACAAAGTACCATTTAGTGAAAGCTAAACCTATTATTTACCCTTAGTATCATACTATTAAAACTTCTTTTCAAGAATAAATCCCCAAATATGACAAAACTATAACATGGATGTTATATTTGGAAAAAAACATCATCAGTGTTATTCTTTTGAAACACTAAGGTTTATCTTTTTCGGGCACAGAGGGCCTTGGCAAAATTTGGTACAATTTTGTTTATTGTCAGTGCTCTTCAACTTTGTAATTGATTTGCTTTCCAACTGTATCGATTCGACCGCCACTGACATCTTAATATAGGCTAAACGCGCTTTTGGCGTACTTAACTTAAATTGACTTTTGCATTACTTGCTAGTAATTTCAAGTTGGAAAAGGGAACATTTTTGGTGTCATCCATACATCGGTATTATAACATAGAAAAACGAATGCAATTCATATCTTTTCTGGAGAACTTGATAAACTGGTAAAAAAAATGCATTTGAGTGTGAATGTTTGGAAAATTTCATAGGATTATATACTACATGATACTATTTGATTAAGTCATAAGATACTACAAATAAAATCACAGATACAACTTGGCAATTCACAAATATATTTGGCTATTAAAATATAATATGACCAAAATAGTCTGAAATATCATATCATAGCAATTCTTTTAAGGCTGACATTTCAACGACTTTTTTAATATGAATACTGACATCAAATATGACCAATTTTTATTGGAATGGGTATAACTTCTTCAAAATGAATTTCTAATGATTTTCTGTAACAGGAAAACAACCACTTATTCTTGTCCTTATTTCTTTCTATATATATATATATTTTAATTTCAAGCATTATTAGCATCATTAGCTCTTTTGTCTTAAGTTCAAATAAAGGAAAAGTCATGTCAAGCCAAATAAATACCTTAACTTGTCTTGTGCTGAAAATCAACATACCGTTAATTGCATATAAGAGCGTACTTGTTCCCGGAATATGGCAGTACCAAAAACATGTACATTTGACTTCAGATCGATCTAAGAAACAGGCCAAAAAATCCCTCCATTCTTAAATGTCAAGCAATAATTTTATTATTCAAATTTATCAGTCAAAAGTAATCTACAATGATTACCAGGCATTCGGCTTTCAGTTGATACCTACATTACCAAAAAATTCTTCATAATTTAAAAGTTAAGCAATGCGTAGGAACTATTCTGTTTTAAATATATACTACTTTCTGATACGTTTTTATTAGTGATGTTAAACCATTAGTCTGGATTTTTTATGAGTTGTTTTACGAAAGGGATTTTGTTTCCTGATATTTTATTTTCCATTGCATGCCAAAACAAAATCTTCACTTTCATAAGCAGGTGTGTTTTATATTTATGTAAGGCAAAACAATCCCTCCGTTAGAGAATAACTTCATATGAAAATAAAGAGATTATATTGTGTGTTTTTTTTGTCATGTGCATGTTGTGTGTGGTTTTTTTTTTTTGTTTGTTAATTTTTCCCTCAAATGCAGATATAAATTGCATTTGATAATGCATGTTGGAGATTTGGTATGCTGTATACCGGGTTCTATTCTCCATTTCCCCAAAAGGCTTTGCACAAACAGTACATATATATTCAGTGGCAAGTAGTTCGAACGGATATAGCCATTGAATTGTGATGTAATGACTATAGATACAGTCGAGGCAAATAGGAAATTGCATAATATTATGAAACATCCTAATTTAACACATTATTATGAAACTTCATAATATTAGTTAATCGGATAATTTTGTAACTATATTATGGGATTTCGTAATTCATTATATTATGGAAATACATAAGATAAGAAACATTTTACAATTTTTAATATTTTTTTCGGTCGGTTTTTGGGCCCTGCGACTAATTTTGAGAAATTTCTAGAAAAAAAAAGTTATTTTTGAGTTGCGTTTATACCAGGTCATAATGAACAACTATCAGATTTTCTCCGAAACGCCAATAAACCCTCCCGAAACCCCAAAGTTTCCTGTAGGTTGACAATTCAACGAAGGGAGACAACTGGTATCGGTTTGAAATACAACTTGCGGTTATAGTTCTTTGATACTTCGATCTTTTTAATACTACTCTAAGGTTGAAGATGTGTTTTTTTTTTATATTTCTATCTTAATTTGCATGTGATTTACAGCTGCATACTTCATTTTCTTTTTAGCAATCTTGAATTATCTAGTTTAAGACGTGAGAAATGAATATACTTAAGATAAAACCTAAAGGTTAATCTAACCTTTTGTCTGTTGTCATGTTGGAACAATAAAAAATCAAAACACCAAATAAAATATTATCTAGCAACATTATGCATTTATAATGCATAACGATGTATTTGTTCACTAAAATAATGACAAATAACAAAAATATTTAACAGCTAAAATCACATGTTTGATCTCAATTTTGTAAATGGCGATATTTTCTTTATTTTACCGCGTGTAGAAACTTTATTATATGTGGTTTTTTTTAATTGGAGTATTATTATTTTTGTATTTTACGGTATTGTTTTGTTGATTTAGCTTCTGTAAATGGATCATGGAAGTATTAAATTGTCAATAGAATACTTCCATGATCGTATTATCATGATAAGATTAAATCGTTAGATACGACATTTAAGTGCACAACGATGTATCATGGTTAATTTTCATTACTGCTGTCAAGTTATGCAGCGTCAGAGACATATATATGTCTTTGGCAGCGTGTAAGAAAAACTCCTCTTGGTATAATTAAAGAACAAAAGTTATCTTTAAAATTTAAACAATGAAAAAAGAAACGATTGTAGAAAATTTATGTTGTAAAAAAGAGTATATGTATTAATAACATACAATAGATAGAATAAAAAAAAACACTCTGAGATCAACAAAATAGTACGTAAGCGTATTAACGCCGCATACTCTTTTTTAACGAAACTTTTGCTATATAACGCACACATTTTGATTTAAATGATTCATTAAGTTTTTAATATTTCATAATCAAAAACTTGTATATTGAAGTTACATTTTATGTTTGATATATAATTTGAGAGTGGTGTTTTTTTAAATATCGGCATTTGCATGTTCGTCTGCCATAAAAAAAAATGGTTGTGATTTAGTTAAGGAAGAGAACATAAAAACCAGGCAAAATTTTTATTTAATATACATAAGAATAAAGGAATACTTGTCTCACAATTACACACAAATTAAACAAATTGTTGTATCAGAAAACTCTATAAATTTAACGTGAACATCGATATGGTATAGAACAATTTTAATTGAAAGACTACGCTTTCGATAATTTTGATTTACGGGGAAGTGACAAAGTAGGGAAGAGCAACAAAAAAGTTCATGCAATTGTGCATAATATTAGTTAATCGGATAATTTTGTAACTATATTATGGGATTTCGTAATTCATTAAATTATGGAAATACATAAATTTCAATCTAGTGAGGTAATTATTTAATATGCTTGGGTAGAAAATTATTATAGACTACATAATTATGATAATAAAAAAATCTTCATCTTATACATTTATTTCAAAATGGTAGCTTGTATAGATCTTTCACAATTCTCAAACGAGCGCTTACTTTTAAAGTCTTTTTATTCGGCTACATTAACGGGGTTCATTTCTTTATTTTCTGCGGTATAACTTCAATCTACAATTTTTTTTTTATAAAACATATATATACGTGTATTCTCCTCCTCATTTTTATGCCATGATATGTGCATAACACTAAGCATTTGTCTTTGCAGTAAGAACAAAGGGTGATAAATTTCAATACATGCACTTTCCTTCATTTACAACAGCTTATTCCCTCAAATCTTTCATAAGAAATAGAAAAAAAAATGTTTGCGTTATATTGCACATGTTTGACATAATTCGCAAAGTTTGCGTTAGTTCGCAAAAGTTCGAATTTTACGCAAATGTTTTCTACATTATGAGTAAACAGGACATCTGTTAAACTTAAACAATACAGAACCCCAAAAATATCTATTAAAAAAAGCATTTAAGATATGTCATTCTTGTATATTTATTTTAATTCAATTTATAAAATAACCTTGAAAAATAAAATAGAATCACACATTTTGAGTAGGACCAAAACAGTCTTCAATCAAATGATTCTGATAAAAAATGAATTTGTCCCAAAAAGAAACTGTCCTTGGAAATGTCAGAAAACATACCATATGGCTTTAATTTATCGATTTTGCATTATGTTTTTTTTTAATCAAACTGGGACCCTGTCTACAATCAAAAGTATGCAAGAATTAAGAAGCATACAAAAAAGCAGCGTATTTGTTAACGAATGACAATCTTCTGAACGTACGACATGTACTACACAATCTGTATTATAATCAAATCAGATTTAGGACACACACATCCTGTATGATAAGTTAATTCTACTAGCTTGCAGTTATAGCATCAAACTTGATTATATAATTAGAAACAGATTTCTCACTATGCCTGCGATGTTTATTTAAAGGGACATTAGTTATTATTTTTATCGTTATGAAAGTGTTCGCTATTCAAAACACAAATTCATTTACTCAATTAAAGATAAGAAGGGATATTATGTAATAATTGAAAAAACTAAACACAGTAAATCATCGATATAAAGTACTTGATATATCCTTTAAAAAATATATGCATGGTGTACATGTATCGTTAATGATCCAGATCGTTGGCAAATGTCTTGACGTTTTATATATATTATGTAAAATTGATCTAAAAAAAACAAATGTTAAATTCTTTACATGAATTTATTTTCAACTTAAAACATGTACTTGAATCTTATTTTCCCAAAGTATTTTCAATGTCCCTATGTGAATATTATAAATTAACTAAGTTTGACCATATTTGAAATATCAAATTAAGAATGAAAAAAAAATGAAAATATTGTATCAAATTTAACCAATAACTATAATTTGAAAAAAGATTAATAATTAGAAAATAATTATTAGTTTAAACAAGGATTTGTGTAGTACAATTACTATACAAATCCTTGGTTTTAAATGAAAGGCAATACATACTTTTCATAGTATTATTGTACATCTAAACTCTATGAAACA